CCAGCTATAAGCGCCCTGCGCTGAAGACTACTCCTACAGCTATGAGCGCCCAGCGCTGAAGACTACTGCTAGCGCTAACCACTACTGCCAGCGCTCCTCCTGAGTGCTGCGGCTGAATCCTGAAGACTACTCGTCCTACTGTCCAACTACCTACCCGTGAAGTGCATGGGAACTCCTATGTACTACTCGGGTGCCTCCTGACTGCAGGCGAGGCAGTCCAGGAGGCTGCTCTTGCCAATGCCGAAGGGRGGCAGGGGCTGCCGCTGCAGCTCCTGCTTGAGCTGTCGTGGGGAACAGGCCAKAAATARCCTGTTCCCGAAACCCTGTTTTTGTGCCTGAGTCTTAGGGTAGGTCGAACACAATGAGGGMCTGAAAATGGCCCTCCGTTTCAGGCTGAAAAGCCTCTGGGCCTGAGAGGCCCAGAAATAGGCTGATAACGGAATAGGGCCTGCAGGCCCTCGTTTTTCAGTTTCAGGCTGAAACGACCGGGGCCTGTAAGCCCTATTTTCTAGGCTTTTAGGATGAAAGTGCGGGACGGGCCCTGCAGGGCCGGTGTGGCTACGCAGTATGCCACATGTGTGCTGTTTCAGTCCAGTCCAGTCCAGTCCAGTCTGCGTTGGAGCTGCGTGAACCCTCCATTTTCCATGGTCAACTGTCCCACGTTGGGCCTCTGGAGCCCAGTTTTAGGCCTTGCTTCGGGTACCCACAGTAGCAGGCCTTTGTTTAGGCAATTGTCATGACTTGGGCTTGGCCATTGACCCCTGTTTCGGCCCTTAGACCGAAATGACGACCCTTAGCCCACGACTATCGCATGATTTGAGCTGTTATTACACCCTTGTGTACTACCAGCAAATGGATATGAATTATCATCATTAAGAGAACAGACAAAATATAAGCGGAAGATCTGAAGAAAAATGAACAGGAGTATACCTCCCCCTTTACTCTGCCTCCTTTCATAATGTGCAAGTGGGCCGTTGAGGCACATGGGGATGTGGGCAGCCGGTGCTAAAAACCACAATCAACGTGGCCAGCCTTGTACAGACACAGAAATAAGGGGGGGGGTACCGCAAAGAAAGCCAAAGTAGGGATAGTCAAGAAAGGAATATAGCGGATCTATTCTGCTCCATGTTGCTTGCTATAGACTTATGATAAAGGTAAAGCTGCATCTATTTTGGATCTACTCATCTGGGTTGAATAGGAGGTGTTGGGGTGTAAATCTACAACACACATTGGCCAGAACTGGGGGCAAGGGGAGTGTCGATGCGCGGAACTCTCTGCTGCAGCAAGTCAGGGCTGTTTAGAATGGTCAGCAAGACCTTATTGCACTCCCCACAATTTGCAGCCCCCCAAATGAAAATAGGTACACAATACCAAAAGTGATAAACCCCAAAAATTGTAACTCCCCAAGTGAAAGTAAGAAGACAACATCAAAAGTGACAAACATCCATCTACACTGAGCTTCCACTTATTATCATGTACATTCATCCAGGGTCACTGAAGTCAATGCAAACCCTTTGGCAGCAAGTGCTTTAAACTGTGTTTTACAGTTTTAGTCTTTAGAATATTTATAACTCCCCAAGGTCAAGAATTGAAAGGCGCATTTTTTAATCTGTTTGATGTGTTCCTTCTCGACAGGTGCATGGAGTCTTCGTTTGGGAGGCGGAAAGAAGTGGTTTTGATTTGGAAGTTTGAATGTTCAACTTGGGAATTTGAATGGCCAAAATCCAGCTCAGTATCCCTTGGAGTATGAACGACAAACAGGAAAATAGACAGGAGGGGAAGGAAGAACAGGAGGGAGGAAGATGAGAAAGGAGAGCCTTTTCAGAGGATTTTCTGAATTTCTTTTTCGCAGCCATCCACATGAACCCGGAGACTTAGAAAAGAGGGGAGGAAGAAGCGGGGGGACATTTGAGTGGCTCTCCTAATGTCGCACTTCGGGAAATAGAAATTGATGTGACAGTGATAGTGTGTAAGAGCAGCTGGTGATGTGTGTCAAGGCCTGCAACAAAATGGAGAAAGTGGGCAAGTGTTAAAGATTTTCCTCACTGCGTCAGACGTGTGGAGGCCAGACATATGGGGGTACAGCTTTCAATTGCAGCTGTGGAGGGAATACTGCTGTAACAGACACCTTTTCCATTGTTTCTCTTCCAAGGCTTCCTCCCAAGGTGTCTCTCCCAGAGCCGTGGCTTGAGTTCCAGGAGGAGGGGTGATCCATGAATCCCGGGCTACACAGTTATCGATCAGAATATTTGACATGGACTGACTGGGTTGTGGCTTCAATTTTTGGTGCCCGTGCCAATAGAGTGGGTGTTGAAATCATAGGCATTGTGTTCAACGGGAACTTGGGAAGAGGAGGGGGAACCTGCAAATGAGAGCAGGTCGACTGACTGAGTGGTGTGATACAACTTTGAGGAGGAGAGAAGCTACTCAAAAGCGGTGGAAGGAACATATTCTTTAAGCTCTCACCGCTGCCTCGAGTGTACAAGTGGTCTGAGTGAATGTCGCAGTCATCAGAATGGGAAGAGGAGGAGCGGAGGCCTGTGGATACACACACATCAGGTCTTGTTCCACATCAGGCAGTGTTGAGGCGAACAACTCGCCGAACACGCCGGAGGACGGAGACCGTTGTGGACATTTCCAACAGAAGTGGGGACGACGCATCAGGTCAGGCTGAAGATGTTCGTGAAACAGCAGATGAGACTGTTGAAGATGTACCTGTCTCGACGCAAGAAGTGGCACAGCTGTTACACTCGATGCCGGCAGAAGGAATACAGGTGACAGAGGAGGTTAATGAGGACGACATTGTGCTTGATACCCAAGATGTGTGCAATGATTTCAGCGGAGGCGCTGATGTCCGGACAACAAGAACCGTGTTAAGGAAGGAGGTGGTTGAGGTGCAGCCCTTGGAATCACGCAACAGCCCTGAATCTGGTCATACAAAACGTGACAGTGATGCAACTGACCAGAGCGTCTTGTTAGTAAGGACGAGATTAGTGTCGGAAAAGAGGAAATCTTTACAGGCCCCTCAGAGCGAATGGGATTCTGAAGGGGAACCTGTGAGAAGTGTCGTGGTGCTTCAGTGTGGTCCGAATCCCATAACTGAGCAGCAGCAGCAGCAGCAGCAGCCAGAAAGGCCAAGGTCAGAACTTCATCAGGGTTTGCAAGGTGAGAAAACAGGTGTTCAAGGGCTGTATAGGGGAACTAGGAGTGGGACTCAGTTTGAAGTCCCAGGGGGAGAGGGCCCGAAAGAGTATGTAGTTGGCAGTGGAGAGAGAGAACCTGTGAGAAGTGGAGGAGAAGCGCTCGGGGAAGAACACAAAGAAGAATCAAAGGTCAGTGAAATTCAACTCACAGGCAAAGACAAGAAGCGCAATCGTGGTGGTGCTGAGCTAATGAGTTTAGAGGAGGAACCAGTTTCAAAGACACTACGCTTGGAGTTAGACGGAACTATGCATAGATGCTCAACAGCTGAGCCTAGTCCTGTTGTGGAGAGAGAGGTCAGGGCCAGTGTTGAGAGAGAACAAGGTGGGCGTATTGACGGGCGTGAACAGGTGATGGAGGAAGAAGGGCCTATGCCTGCAGCAGCCAATGCGGCCAGAAGGGATGAGCTTCGTGAAGCTGTGCAGCTTGCTTCACATGAGGCAGCGGGGGCTGACGAAAGGGTATATCTGGCTGAGAGAACCGTTGAAAGACTTCCAAGCCCTGAGGCTGAAGAAGGTATTGCAGTTCACAGACAGGTCACACCACGGGGCACGGAGGAAGGAGAGGTACAGCAAGAGCAGGACCGGGAAGAAGATGAGCGCAGTCGGGTGCATAAGCCCTTAGTGGATGAAATTGAGATGCAGGTCAAGGAGAGCACGGCAGTGGAAGGAGTACAACAAGGACAGGGGCGGACAACAGCGGAGCCGGGTATAGTGCATAACGGCCGGGCTGAAGGAGAGAACTTGTTAAAAGACGTGATCACCGAAGGGGCCATGACCAGGGAGGTGCAGAAGGGGATTGCAAACGAGATTACCGAATCAGGTGATGAGCTGACGGGGATGGACCGAGCTGGAATCCTGGCATGTGAATCTGAGGAGCCAAGCTTTGAGAAAGGAACTGGGACAACACTTTTGGAAGGTTCTGGACTTCCGCTGGAAGCTTCGGAGTATGTTCAATTTGCATTCCGAAAGGTAATGTGATCCTCCAAAAATCCCTTAATCCCACTTTCAGGAGCTTCCCAGTACTTTCAGCCTTTGCGCTCCTACGAGCCCATGACCAGAGATCCCACTTTGAAAAACTTGAGTTTTTCATTACTATTGTCTTGTTTTTTGTTTAATTACCAGTTCACACAAGCCTAAGTTAAAGAAGCTACCTTCCAAGGCTTGTGAGCCACAACGGTGCCTTTTCAAAGTGGCCTGCCGCTTTTGCTACCGACCCAGGCCCAAATCGAAATGCTCTTACTGTGGGCATAAACACACTAGGCCCTCAAAATCGCAAAATCGCAAAATGAGCGGCCAGATCGAGTCCTTGTAAACGAGCGGCCACATCAAGTCCTTGTAAATGAGCGGCCAGATCGAGTCTTTGTAAACGAACGACTCGATCTAGCTGCTCATTTTGCGATTTTGTGATTTTGAGGGCCTAGCGTGAGAGTACTCTGAGTATACCAGTAAGAGAGCAACTTTAGGCTGGTGTTATGATCCTGGGATTCCTGGCCAATTTCGAAGTATTCATCAGAAAGTACAATGCTGTCCAATGGCGAAAAGAAATGAATGAACTTGAGAGGAGAGAGAGGAAAAGAAGAAGAAGAAGAAGAAGAAGAAGAAGAAAGAAAGAAAGAAGAAGAAGATGATGTACACCAGCATAGAACAATGATAATGCTCTTGTTCTTCGCCAACCGAAGAAGAAATGTACACCAGCATAAAAAAATGATCATGCTCTTCTTCTTCGCCAACCACTCTCCTCCTCCTTATCTCCTCCCCTCTTATTCAAACAAGAAATAATAATAATAATGTTGAATGGCTGAACCAGAATGAATGTCCGAATTCCTCTTCTACTGCAGGTATCACATGAGGTCCACCATAGCCATGGCCACCCTTCTTCCTCCTTCCTCCAAGGCCGAGGCTATGGCATACTACCAGGGCATCGTCCCGCTGTGCAAAGGACAACACAAAGCAGCTATTGCTGCTCTAGCTCAGGCCGTCATGCCTGACTCTGCCTCGAAGCTTCTTGGTGTAGCTCTACCCCAACTGGGCCCTTCCTGCTGCAGCGCCCACCAAGGTGATGAAGATGGCAACCACCATAGCCAGGTAAGACCCTCTGGCGCTCCCCCTTCCTACTCCTGGTCTTCTTCCTCTTCCTGTCCTTGCTCCTTTCCCAGCAGCGCAGCTCTGTGCTAGCGCTGCTCCAGTCAGCGCTCCAACCAGTGTGTCGCCAAACTTGCACACCGACAATGAGGAGGATCACTTTGCTACTCCTGGAGATATAGTGGCCTGCTTGCCTCTTGGCGATGACTTCCTAGGCCGTGCGGCCTCCAAGCAACCGGTACCTCCTCCCTTTCGGAGGGAAACATCATCGCAGACTCTGATATTGCCCGTACAGGCCCTAGACTCAGACTGGTTGGACTGGTACCCGCCTAGACCTAGCCTACAACTACTGGGCCTCTAAAAATGCCAACTTTTGTCTTCTTCTGCTCGGCCTCGAGTACCCAGCACATCTACCTCTACTTGGTGTGGTACCGGCCTACCTGCCACTTGAGTGTTTTCCGCTGCTTTAAGTGTCGTGGGCCTCTTTCCCCGCCACTTGAGTGTTTTCCTTTCTGCAACCCTCAATGCCACGGCCACAGGTAAGTACCGGCCCTTCGGCCCCCTCTGAACAAACAAGTGCCCTTGCGGGTCACACACACCCTCAAGCCGACAATCACTCACACAGGCATGCAGACCAGCAAGCACGCACCCACACAGACTTAGAAAACTCAGCAACAAGCGGCAAACTCAGCAAGGCATACATTCCATGAGCAAAACTCAGAAATCAGCTGTGTGTCTCAGTCCGTGTTTGGCAGGTCATTACACTGCGGTGAAAACACTCTCCCCCACACCCTTGCCCATGAATTCAAAAAGCGGTTTACGAAGGGCAAAAAGAGTGCTGACTGAAATGATTGAAAACGAGGCTGGGGAATGTACCTGTGCATCCATTGGAATGCTGTGAGTTCCACTAGCAAAGCTAAAAAGAATGTAGTAATGTACCTGTGCATCCATATGGAATGCAGCAAGTCCCACTAGCGAAACGGACGGGATTCTTTATTTATTTATTTTGTCAACAACAGGACTGGAATTTTTATTTTTTATTTTTTTTTGTATCCAACTTCATACTTTCATTGCATAATTGGAAACGAGGCTGGGGAACCTCACAAACAACCCGGAGAAAAAGCCTGGAAGCATCATCCAGCTTAGCTTACAGAATAGGACAGGATTGAACCAGAGGGTACAATTCCTGCATCTCCTTTATCAAGAACTACCTGGGGACCTACATATGGTCATCATTGGAGACTTCAGTATCACACTGGATCCAATGCTAGACAGAAGATCTTCATCTTCCCCCTTAAACCACCAGTACCTCGGCCAGCCATTTTTTTTTGTCGCGGCCGTATACGCGCCGCGACTTGCGGTGGTCGGCGGGGCGGGGGACCGGTAAGTAAGAACCGAAA